TCTGAGATTTCCATAATGCAGGAAGACTTGGGGGAACTGAGATTCGACTTTATTCTCCAAAGTGCGCAAAATGCTTTATCTGCTTTACACACCCTTCCTTCCTTCCTTCCTTCCCTCCTTCCCTCCCTCTGCAGCTCTTTAAAAAGTATCTGCTCCATACTAGGACGGTGAACAGTCCCTGCCCGTTAACTACCACATGCTGCAAATACAAAATATTTTCAGAGAGTGATGAATATGAAAAAAAAAAAAATTTAGGGGCTGGAGACTGAGGCGGGGGAGGGGGCGTTAGGTAGGGCTCATAGGACGGCTCCTGTGACACTGGAACAGAGTCCTGAGGAATGAGAAAAAGCCATCCAGGCAGAGGCAATGGGACAGGTGACCTACTGTGGGAAGAGCCAGGAGGAACAGAATGAGGCAGGAGAAAACTCCCTACTGGCCTGCAAGATCCTACGTGACTTTCCTATAATTGCCAAGGCTCAACATTATAGCATGTAAAGTAGGGAACTGAGATCACCTGATAAATATTTGTAAAGGATCCTTCTGGCTGCCATGAGCAGTAGACACTGTAGGGAGATGAGAATTATGTAACTGTCCTGTTAACTCTGTGGATTAAGTGGTGAGATCACCTTTGTGCATGAGGAAGCGGCGGCCCAGAGTTTACACGCCTTGCTCAAGATGATGCGCCTTGTGAAGGGTGGATGGGGTTTAACACCCTATCAGCACCAGCTTCAAAGCACATGCCCTTCTCAGGGTACTGACCTTGTAGTCCTATTAAAATCTACAAGGTTTGACTGGCATTTTCCATGAAATATTGAGATTAGTTTCCTTCCAGGGGGAAACCCCTCTGCAGGGAAATTCTCCTTTGAAGCCCCCTTTCTACATCCATTTTCCTGGAAACTGGATTGAAAGGGCTTCAAATTTTCTGACTTTTACAGTCAAATGTTTTAAGTGGGTACAGACCCACCCGCATCTGCTGACGTGACTGTATAAATATCGGCTTCTGATGCCAGCAGGACAGCGACAGAATTTCTGCCTTAACTCTGTCTCCTTGTACAGCTACGGTTAATTTGAATATGTCGGATCATAGCCTGGGTACGTTTTACTAATGTCAATATTTTTGGTAGCTAATAGTACACAGTGTTATACCTGAAATCTTCCAGGCTGGCAGGGTGCTATTACCAAAGATTACTTAATTGCAGATTACTACTGTACATTTAAGTTGCAGTACATATTAAGTTGTCAGGCTTAATTACCGTTACATGTTTAGATTACGCCACAGATTATTTAGTTCAGTACCTAGGTTTGCCAACCTGTTCTCCTGTGACGTGACAGGGAGGTAATTAGCTCATGACTGAAAAACCTGAGGTTTTCCATGGGGATGTCTGGGAGGCCTGGTGTCCTCACTGATCCTTTGGTGAGTCCTAATCTGTTGTGTGCACTGCCCCCCACCCCTGCAATGTCCCATGGTGAATCTCTGTGTGGAATAGCCTTGGTGGCCCTCGCTCGGCTTTATAAGTGAGTTTATGGCTGTGAAGATGTGGAAAAGCCCAGCGATCCCACTAAAGGCTCATCAGATACTCTAGGGCAAGGCTTCTCAACCTCAGTACTGTTGACCTTTCTTTATCATGGGCAGCTGTTCTGTGCATTGTAAGGTGTTCTGCAGCACCTCTGACCTCTACACGCTAGATGACAGCAGCATCCCCCAGCTGTGGAAACCCAAACTGTCTCCAGACATTGTCAGATGACCTCAGGGGCATAATTACCCCTGGTTGGGAACTGCTGACTTAGAGAAAGGATAAGAAAACTGTCCACCAGCTGGTCTCACTTTGGTGCTCAGTGTGAAAGATGTTTTCTTCTTCCTAGTAGAATTTCACAACGCTTCATACTTTCAGTTCTTGGAGGTAGGTATTCCCGTTTCCACGTTAGTATGGGGCAAGAAGAATATTAACAGGAAATGGAAAGGATGATTCAGAGGGCCAGACAGGCTTCTCTGGGACTTGGAATTTGTATATATGAACTCCAGCGAGATCCCTGCCATGCCGGAGTAATTGGTAAAGTTCGCGAGCCATGGTCCTGTGCTAGTCAGATGTCTCCTCAGAATGCGTTCAATATGTAACTTTACTGATGTGATGGTACTAGAGAAGCAGACTTAATGGCCTTCATTAGGTGGGCCAGCAGTGCCTGTCTGGACCTATGTTCTCCCGTCATACAAGTGGGTATGACCTCATCCATACAAGGGATGCTACAAGGCCAGACCTACGCAGCACGTCCTTCCCTCCACTTTTATTTTTATCTTTGGGGAAAGCAACTACTCATACTTCGTGATGACCCAAATACTGACATCCCTTCACTTTCTTTCCCCCTTTCCAATCCTTTTTTCCCCTCTCCTCTACCACCTGCCAAATCATGCAGATGCTCCTTGAAAGGCGACCCTCTAGCCTGTAACAGAATACCTGACCCATCATACAAAATCAATATATTTTTGCTGAATGAATGAATAAATAAATGAAAGAATGAAAATCACTAGATATTAAGGAAACCAGAATTAGAATTATAGGTTTATATCTTTCTAGCCTATACAGGA